CTCTTCTTGAGTTCACTTTCCTACTGACACCGACCGGCAAGTTCTTGTGACTCTTTCACACCAACCGACAAGTTCTTGTGACTGTTTCACACTGACCGGCAAGTTCTTGTGACTGTTTCACACCGATCGGCAAGTTCTTGTGACTGTTTCACACAGCCGACATGGACACAATGGTGAACTATTTAGACCAAGCTTGGCACATGCTTATTAGGTTTGTTATGTCCTGTCCTGAGGCATTGTAAAATGACCTGCCCATGCCGGTCAAATAAGTGGTGGTGATCTCTGACCAGTTTCTGCTCACTTCTGATAGTCTGGGTGGCCCTTTTCTTCTTATAGCACGTTACTGTATTCTCTTCCAGTTCACATTCTGCCCCTTTCTTAGCAAGTTTATCCGCGGGTTAATTTCCTTCAACATGATTGTTAGGAAGGCAGCTGGTCTATTCTACGTTATCTCCCCCAAAATGAGCTGCAGAACCCATACAGGGAGGTAATCAACAAGAAATCTCACAGCTATTTGTGGTTGGACAGAGAAAACCCAGACCACCGTGTTGAGCCAAGCACTACTTCAACTATGCCACCAAGACTCCACAAATAAAGCAGACATTTCTAAAAAAAAAGTAAGTAAAACACATCAAAGTTGCCCATATTGTGACCCAACTGCTGTGAGATGCTCAGTGCTAATGAGTGAAGTAGATATTTGTAGAATACAGGTGAATACTGCTTAATCACCCAGCCCCCTTGTATTACAAATAAATATAAATGAAACTTAAGCTGGCAAATTAAATACTATATGAAAAAATTTAATATACTATTTTGTGCAGGAAACTGACAGAAAATGCTAACAAGTGATACAGTAAAAAAACAACAATGAACAAAAATAAATGAAAGTTTATAGTTTCACATAGTTAGTAATTATACAGGTTACAGCGTGAGAAAAATACATGATTTATCACAGAATGGAATGATAAAAGATGCAAGAAATAACAGAAAACAGGCACACATCAAAATACAATACAGACTGTCAAGTAGATCTACAAATTAGTCAAGTACAAGTACCATGTTTTTATAAAATCAAAGAATCACTGGGTAAGACTGCGCACCCATCAATGTACATCTCTGAACCACATCTCTGTACCCACACAAAAATGGGACAACTAAAGCTTCGGAGCAGTTGCCTTAAGTACCATATACATTATGTCTGTCTGACTGCTAAATTTTATTCCATGTTTATGCCATAAAGAGGTCACTCCGTAGTCGTTTCTGTCTTTGTGTTGTGTTCTGGTTCAGGTTGTCTGCTGATGAAGGCTTGTCACCATAACATGCCTTGTTTGCTGCAGCTGTAATTGTGTATAGTTGATGTACATGTTGAGATTTCTATTTACATTTCCACTGCTTTACTGCTATTCAACTCATTTAACTTACATATACATATTGTCAAAATTCATCTACATTTTCTTCTACCCTCTTTCTCCTTCGAAACAAAAGCCCTCAACTAACTGATACCGTTTCATCTTTTACTAATTCATACTTTTTCTTTTGCCTGTAGATTATAGAAACAAAACCATTCTAAATATATACATTTCAGGACTTCTCAGTGTATGTCTTTTCCAGCACCAGTGTCTTGTCCTCACCTCTTGATTCACATGTTTAGCTCTCTTACCAAGCCTTGCATTAGTGACCTCTTGATTGGCTGACATGTTTAGCTCTCTCACCAAGCCTTGCATTAGTGACCTCTTGATTGGCTGACATGTTTAGCTCTCTCACCAAGCCCTGCATTAGTGACCTCTTGATTGGTTGACATGTTTAGCTCTCTCATCAAGCCCTGCATTAGTGACCTCTTGATTGGCTGACATGTTTAGCTCTCTCACCAAGCCTTGCATTAGTGACCTCTTGATTGGCTGACATGTTTAGCTCTCTCACCAAGCCCTGCATTAGTGACCTCTTGATTGGTTGACATGTTTAGCTCTCTCACCAAGCCCTGCATTAGTGACCTCTTGATTGGTTGGCATGTTTAGCTCTCTCACCAAGCCTTGCATTAGTGACCTCTTGATTGGCTGACATGTTTAGCTCTCTCACCAAGCCTTGCATTAGTGACCTCTTGATTGGTTGGCATGTTTAGCTCTCTCACCAAGCCTTGCATTAGTGACCTCTTGATTGGCTGACATGTTTAGCTCTCTCATCAAGCCCTGCATTAGTGACCTCTTGATTGGCTGACATGTTTAGCTCTCTCACCAAGCCTTGCATTAGTGACCTCTTGATTGGCTGACATGTTTAGCTCTCTCACCAAGCCCTGCATTAGTGACCTCTTGATTGGCTGACATGTTTAGCTCTCTCACCAAGCCCTGCATTAGTGACCTCTTGATTGGCTGACATGTTTAGCTCTCTCATCAAGCCCTGCATTAGTGACCTCTTGATTGGCTGACATGTTTAGCTCTCTCATCAAGCCCTGCATTAGTGACCTCTTGATTGGTTGACATGTTTAGCTCTCTCATTGTCTAGCATTAGTGGTTCTCTCATATAATTGTACACCTATTTTATGTATCTTAAATAAATGGTGAGCAGCAGTCAGTCTGTCGCTCAATAAAGGTTGAACATTTGCTAGTGTATCATTTAATGAATGTTGAACATTTGCCTGTAGTAAATACTAAACATTATTCAATGCACTATTTTATAAATGTTGAACATTTATTAGTGTATCATTTGGATAATACTCAATATCTGCTAGTGTATGATTTGGATAATACTCAATATCTGCTAGTGTATCATTTGGAAAACACTCAATATCTGCTAGTGTATCATTTGGATAACACTCAATATCTGCTAGTGTATCATTTGGATAATACTCAATATCTGCTAGTGTATCATTTGGAAAACACTCAATATCTGCTAGTGTATCATTTGGACAACACTCAATATCTGCTAGTGTATCATTTGGATAATACTCAATATCTGCTAGTGTATCATTTGGATAATACTCAATATCTGCTAGTGTATCATTTGGATAATACTCAATATTTGTTAGCGTATCATTTGGACAACACTCAATATCTGCTAGTGTATCATTTGGATAATACTCAATATCTGCTAGTGTATCATTTGGATAATACTCAATATCTGTGAGTGTATCATTTGGATAATACTCAATATCTGCTAGTGTATCATTTGGATAATACTCAATATCTGTGAGTGTATCATTTGGATAATACTCAATATTTGTTAGCGTACCATTTGGATAATACTCAATATTTGTTAGCGTACCATTTGGATAATACTCAATATTTGTTAGCGTACCATTTGGATAATACTCAATATCTGTGAGTGTATCATTTGGATAATACTCAATATCTGCTTGTGTATCATTTGGATAACACTCAATATTTGTTAGCATATTATTTGGATAATACTCAATATCTGCTAGTGTATCATTTGGATAATACTCAATATCTGCTAGTGTATCATTTGGATAATACTCAATATCTGTGAGTGTATCATTTTGATAATACTCAATATCTGCTAGTGTATCATTTGGATAATATTCAATATCTGTGAGTGTATCATTTGGATAATACTCAATATTTGTTAGCGTACCATTTGGATAATACTCAATATCTGCTAGTGTATCATTTGGACAACACTCAATATCTGCTAGTGTATCATTTGGATAATACTCAATATCTGCTAGTGTATCATTTGGATAATACTCAATATCTGTGAGTGTATCATTTGGATAATACTCAATATCTGCTAGTGTATCATTTGGATAATACTCAATATCTGTGAGTGTATTATTTGGATAATACTCAATATTTGTTAGCGTACCATTTGGATAATACTCAATATTTGTTAGCGTACCATTTGGATAATACTCAATATTTGTTAGCGTACCATTTGCATAATACTCAATATCTGTGAGTGTATCATTTGGATAATACTCAATATCTGCTTGTGTATCATTTGGATAACACTCAATATTTGTTAGCATATCATTTGGATAATACTCAATATCTGCTAGTGTATCATTTGGATAATACTCAATATCTGCTAGTGTATCATTTGGATAATACTCAATATCTGTGAGTGTATCATTTTGATAATACTCAATATCTGCTAGTGTATCATTTGGATAATATTCAATATCTGCTAGTGTATCATTTGGATAATACTCAACATCTGCTAGTGTATCATTTGGATAACACTCAATATTTGCTAGTGTATCATTTAATGAATGTTGTACACTTGCTGGTAATTCATGCAAAACATTATCCAGTGTATCATATACTAAATATTGAATCTTATCTAGTATATCATTTAAAAAAATGCTGAACAACAGATAGTGTATCATTTAACACATTTTAAACACTGAATAATAATTATTAACAAATGGTGATTAACATCAGTGTACATCTGAGCAAATGTTCTACAGTACATAGTCTAAATTCTAATAATGGTTGGATGTTAACTAGCACACAGTTTAACAAATGCTGAATGTTAGCAAGTGTTTCACTGACATAACTTGGAATATTCTAGGTTGTTTTAACTTTAGAAGAAGTACACACAAAAAACCTGTGAAACTGAGTTCGAATGACATCAAGTATCCTCTCTGAAAGCAATGTTCACTTCACTCGCCTCTCACACACGCTTATCAGTTGCTTTTTATTTCTGGGACTGACCTAGGAGCAAAGATAAATTATATACAAAAATGCCTCAAGCAGACTTGAACCCAAGATCTTCACAGTGAGTGCACTAACATTTGTCCCAATGCTTCTAACTTCAGAAATAAAACTAAGTCTTCTTAAGGACTGAGAAGCAATCAACAGTTCCTGGATTTAATCATAATGGGAAACCGTAACATTATCTCTCAAGATTACATTACGGTTGGCATTATTTTCTTGGCATAACAAGAGTTGGAGTAGCTGCCCTTGCTTTCAATAACTAAACCTAACTGACATGTTTTCTCTCGTACATGAAACAATAAGTGAAGAGGTTTCAATGACCTTCAACTATAAACTGGTGACAACTGACTCTGTGATGTTTGGAGCTAGAGGCAGATGGTGAACCACATAGTAGTCATGGAAGTAAGCCAAGATGGCCACCGGCTGCCCTAGGATCAAAGTTAGCCACATGATGATGTTTCCCCACTTGCCTCTGATGTACTTTCCTGTGATGTAAGCATTTGGCACCTGAAGAACAGAAGTGCATTAAATCAAAAAGAAAAACAGAAGTGCATTAAATCAAAAAGAAGAAGTGCATTAAATCAAAAAGAAGAAGTGCATTAAATCAAAAAGAAGAAGTGCATTAAATCAAAAAGAAAAACAGAAGTGCATTAAATCAAAAAGAAGAAGTGCATTAAATCAAAAAGAAAAACAGAAGTGCATTAAATCAAAAAGAAAAACAGAAGTGCATTAAATCAAAAAGAAGAACAGAAGTGCATTAAATCAAAAAGAAGAACAGAAGTGCATTAAATCAAAAAGAAGACCAGAAGTGCATTAAATCAAAAAGAAGAACAGAAGTGCATTAAATCAAAAAGAAGAACAGAAGTGCATTAAATCAAAAAGAAGAACAGAAGTGCATTAAATCAAAAAGAAGAACAGAAGTGCATTAAATCAAAAAGAAGAACAGAAGTGCATTAAATCAAAAAGCACTATTCTGTTACTACACTACTTCATTTGTCAATGCCTAGAATATGCAAGGCCTAACACCCTATACCCAAACAGCACGACCTATTATGGTCCCAAAGTATGTATGCAGGTGTTGCTGGTAATGAAAGAACGGAGAGACTGGCTGGCTCTGCCATAGTTACAGGTGGCTTTTCTATGGATTGTGCCGACAATGTAAATGCCCTTAGAGAGAGAGAGAGAGAGAGAGAGAGAGAGAGAGAGAGAGAGAGAGAGAGAGAGAGACAGACAGAGAGAAAGAGAGAGAGAGAGAGAGAGAGTATGGAAAGGAGGGGGTTTGGTGGTAGGGGCAACATGCCCACACTGCTGCTAAAAGTGCGAGAACTGGCAGTAAACAATCAGCAGAGCCAGGTGTCAGAGGCATAGATGTATGAGAATTTTGGTGGGGGGGGCATTGTGAGCACCTACTGATGTTTCCGAAGTGCAATAATGAGGACAGAATACGAAATACGAAATCATGAAATCAGACAAATGCTGGGAATAAAGCCAGTCTTACAGGTCATCAAAGAACAACAAATGAAGTGGTTTGGATACCTAACAAGAATGCCCAGGTACTATCAGCCACACTAAAATGTTACAACGGGTATAGAGCGAGTGGAAGACCTCGGAAAATATGGAGTGATGGCATTAAGAACAGCCCTACAGAAATGAACATCAGTCTTAATAGTGCTCTTGACAGTGCTCATCAACGAACATTACATCTCCCCCCGACACTTCGATGAGGTACAAGGTGGAAGAGAAGAAGAAGAAGAAATAATGAGGACAACTGACCCATAACTCATATCTGCTATGGTACTACAGATACTTTTATTTGTGTGTCAGTTAGGCTGGTTTTTTTCCCCTTCCCAAACTACCACCATTCATACACTTTGTCCTTTGCTCATGTTATGAAATGTTATCCTATGTACTAAGCACTCCTACGTATAATCACCCTAAAAAGTTCAAAAGCTCCATTGCCACACTAATGAGCTGAATGCTTGGTGCAACACAGTGAGCTGTGGATTTCATGTAGAATGATTTTTTCCTCTGTGCCTGTGGCATATTGTTGACTGCACTAAAATAGCAGGTGGTCATCATGTCCAGAATAGCATGTACTTTTGAGGGTGCCAGCTTTTGTCACTGACCATTTGTTCCAACAGCCAGCTGCTATTCTGGTGAGGGAGCATTAGTTTTAGTACATCTGAAAGCTGCCTTATGCATCTCTACTGTGCGTGTGCAAACTTCAAGATTCTGCTGGGACTGACAAGTTTTTCACTAGTTTCCAAATGGGACAGTGATGGACAGTTTTTGTGATTTCTATTGGCACAAGAGTGGAGCTGTCGGGGACGACCAAGATGTAGTGATGTTGGAACCTTGACTAGTGACTAACTAGCTACATAATTTGCAAGAATTCACATATTTGCACCATGAACTGGAATTTGTAGACCCCGCTTCACCCCCCTCTAGCTCTTTTCTTTATAAACTTTCCTACCATCTGTCCGATTTTGTTGCTGTTATTATTTAAGATGAAAATAATATTCAAGAAATAATGTATAAAAGGAGTTGGATAAGATAAAAGGGAGGAATGCTAGATAAACATAGTTGCCCAATTCTTAACCCTTAGATAAAAAAGTATGTGTGTTTATTCATTCTGTTCCCAATTGACTATCAATCTCCCAACACCTGTTAACACTTGCTGCACCAATTTATTCATTCTCCTCACGTTTCCTTGCATTTATACAACAGTTAATCATTTGCTGCCATCTATCTAAACACTTCAGCTTCTGTTTGAGCTCCATCCTCTTGTCTCTTGATCTCCTTGGCCACCTACCTCAGCAGGATACATTTCACATTTGTATTAACACAAGACCACTTCTATCTTTCTTCTTTTCTCTACTCCTGGAATGCCTCACGTCGTCAGAAAAGGAAGAGAGCTCTAGAACGGGCTCTTATGTTCACTTCGTATATAGTACTTTTCAGTGTATCTGATATTTCTGTGGTCTATCCTCTGAATGGTCACCCTCTGGGTTTGTTACCGTTGTATCTGTATAATATTGCTCTCTGTGGTGCCCTGTTTGCTGCCAGACTTCTTACATCACCAAACCATTTGATTTGTTGTCTACCTTTAAAGTTCAGTACTGGTTATGTGCCGATTCTCCTCCTGATATCATCGTTTTTAAGTCAATGTTTCCTCGTTGCACCTAGCATAGTAGGTAAACATTTTACTTCTGACATGACTATCTTTCTTATGTCTTCTGACAACAGTGTCCATGTTTGACACTGATAGAAGAGCGTTGGTAAAAATATTGTGTTAAACAGTGTTCTTTTAGTGTTCATATTCACATACTTGTATTACATAATTGGTGCCACTTGGTCTAAAACTGGATTAATCCAGACCAACATCTGCGTAAAACCAGTGTACACATCCACTAATTCTACTGACCTGCATAAGCATTCCAAAGAAGGCCCAGGCTTTGAACATCCTCAGGGGTACACTGACCAGATACTGGGGGTAGAAATCATCATAAATACATCAACAAAACATCACAGACATATCAAGAAAACATCACAAACATCACAAATATATCAACAAAACATCAGATATATCAAGAAAGCACATCACAGATATATCAACAACACATCACAGAAACATCCACAACACAGAACAGATATATCAACAACACACCATAGATATATCAACAACACACCATAGATATATCAACAACACACAACAGATATATCAACAACACACAACAGAGATATCAACAACACACAACAGATATGTCAACAACACAAAACAGATATGTCAACATCACAAAACAGATATATCAACAACACACAACAGATATGTCAACAACACAAAACAGATATGTCAACATCACAAAACAGATATATCAACAACACACAACAGATATATAAACAACACACAACAGATATATTAACAACACAAAACAGATATATCAACAACACACCATAGATATATTAAACATCTTTAAATAAATACATCAATTAGGGTCACTAAGTTCAAGAAGTTCATCATTCCAGGACAGTAAATGTAGCAGGTTCATTATTAGAAAATAAACTTCAAGGCCTGATCTATGATGAAGAACTGACATCACTGCTCATGGAACCAATTTATAAGTGCTCAGTCTCTCCAAGCAATGTTAAGGAGGGTGTGGGTGCTGACTGTCCCTAGTGTATTAGCTACATCATGAAGCTGTAAGGTTTTTGTGTCCCAGTAACCATTTTTTAGTCTCAGTGAAGTGAAAATTGAAAATACAGCTTTGGGACAAAATGAGTTATAGTAAAAAAGCAAGACAGAATGGGTTAAGCAGAAAAATAAATTGGACAAAAAGAGAACAGTGTAACCAATGTATGTACTGTGTGTTCCGTGGTGCTGCAAGAGTTAAAGATCCCTAAATTGAAAGCAGACATTGAAATATTTATTATACAATGTCTCAAACAAATACTTTCATAAATTATTTATTCACACAGACTTCTGACTTAAAATGCTGTTTCTAGTTTTTCACCTGGCCTGATCAACAGTCTCAAAAGCATTGTAGACACCAAAAACAAAGCGCAATTATGTACAATTAAATACACAAACAAATTCCATCCGCCGACTAACCTCATGAAAAAATGCAGAGAAGAGAAAAACAAATGTTGAGGCTGCCAGTTTGGAAAAATTCCTCCGCAACAATGGCTTGTATATGTGTCTGTAAATATTCACCACAGACAATCATTATGCTTTCTATCACAGGAAATATCAAACTCTAAGCATTCTGAAGCAGAAACAAAAGCAGTATTTTCACAGACAATGAAATGCTCGACACAGAAGTAGAAAATGTTCAACATATACATCATCTTTTTTTTCTGTGAAAACAAATATCGAACTTGAGTCATTCTGAAGAAGACACACAACAATGTATTTTCAGAGATATGACAGAGAAACTGAGAATAAAAAAGCAATACATAAATCATTATGTTATCACAATCGACACTGGGCACTCCCATGCATGCTCAATCCTCCAATAAGCAGCCACTCCAGCGTGCCGCTACTGATCGATAAATGAGCTGTCTCCTATCTTGGCCTCGAAGTCAACACAGACATGCTTTACTCCTAGGTCATGCAATTATATTAGTGTCAGAGACTTATCATTATCTACTAGCCCAGTCTGTAAAATGTTGAAAACATTTGCTCTTTCCGTGCTTCTTCTTGCAAGCATTGATGCATTGCTTGCCAGTTGGTCCGCTCACTAATTAGTTTTATTATGCTATCTCTGTCAGAGAAACATTTAACAAAGGCCATTCTGAAGCGGACGTGCAACACCACATTCTCACAGAAGGTAAAAGATTGAAGGGAGAAGCAGAAGACACACCAAAATGTCAACAGTGCATTACCAACTCAAGCATGCACAAAACAGTACACAAGGCAAGTGATTAAGTAAGACAGTATACTTGTACTAACATTCTGCTGTCTGTGCCAAACATGGACACTCAATAATTAAAAATAAAATTCTGAAAATTATCATATAAGAGATCAAATATTTAAGACAAACTGTTGGCTTGATTTAAGAAGCCACAGAACACACAACGATACCATCATAAATAGTGAACAGGATACAATAACAACATTGCAAACAGTTGTAAGGATACAATAACATCATAAATAGATACAGAACATACAATGATAACATTATAAAGAGTTAAAACCATATCACGATAACAGATATAGTTACAGGACATAGAATGATAACATTATAAACAGTTAAAAGGATACAATGATAACATAAATAGCTACAGAACATACAATGATAACATTATAAATAGATGCAGAATGTACACTGATAACATTATAAACAGTTCAGAGGATACAATGAAAATATCATAAATAGATAAGAGCATAGACTGATAAAATTATAGTTAGGAGGATACTATGATAACATTATAAATAGATACAGAATATACTATGACACCACAAATAGTTAAGAGGATACATGATAACAGATACAGTTACAGAACACACAATGATAACATTAGAAATGGTCATAAGCATCCAGGAATCACAAGCAGAAACAAGCGATCAAAACATTCCGTTCCATTTGTGTGTCATTTCCTTTCCCTCAGTTGACTTTCTGTATTGTTGATTTACCTCTTGGTAATCATGTAATCACACTTTCAAGGCACCAGAAGTTCTCTGGCAATAGGCCATTCACCATGTTCTGAATCTGCAGTTACCAAAATAAGCCACATTAGTCAGTCAAAAAGTATTCCAAATGAAATCTGCACCATACAATCAACTCAGTAGCTGGGCGACGGAACTATATAGTTTCAGTCTATTGTTAATTTAAAGATAATTTTCATCACACATCAGACATGACCAAAAGTGCTCTGATTGATTAATCTGATTCAAGAACCGACATCACAGCACTCAGGGCATTCCCATAAGCGCTCCGTCCGGATCTTCAGCAGCCAGCGAAGAGTTCCGATACTAATGGTGCCAATAGTATTCTGACTAAATGTCCCTCTTGCCTATCCTCTGAGCCTCGAGCATCTGCCAGAACCTCTCATCACTCCCCGCTTCATCAATCTCACCAGACTGTGGTGATCCATCTGCTACTCTGAACTGTACATGCTCTCTCACAAGGCACTAACCACGTCTGCCTTATCATGTATCAGTATTCCACCAAGTTGTGCAGAGCCAGCCAGTCTGTCAGCCGGTTCATTTCCCAACACACCGGCGTTTCCGGTGAACAAATCCAGACAATACTCCTCACCCGAGTCCTCCGCAGCGAAGCATGCCACTCTGCACGAAGCATACCTTTTCTGATCTTCCTCAGCATGCTTTCTGAGTCAGTTACAATCACGATGTGTGTGCGTGTGTCGTGTTCTCTAGCCAGCGGAAAGCTGCAGTGACCGCCTCCACCTCCATTCTTAAGCTGGATGTTGTGGTATCATATGCTAGGCTCTCCAGCACCAAACGTCGACCATTAACTTTTGCTAAGAAGCCCTAAGCACTTCTTTTGCCTCTTGACACTGAACCATCTGTGTAAATGATCAAATCCTCTGAGCGAGCATTTTATTGAATTAATTGCTGAATTTCCACCTCTGTGGCACCTGCTGGTCAGTCTCTGCATTCCCGGCTCAGCGTGATTATGACTCTACATAAGTCTGACTGTTCAGGTGGCGCTTTGACTCACTCTTCTCCTCACCTAATGTTCTCAAGGATGCAAACCTGTCTGTTTGTGTCTTCTGCCTGAGCCATCCATGACCTCCCTCTTATCAGCCGCTGACCCTTAACTGCACCCAGAGCTTCATGCAGAGGGTGGTCTGTGTCTGCAGCTGCCCTGAGATATGACTTCGCCTGGAGCTCCTTGTGGCTACCTGCAACCGTCGGCAAACCAAGGATGTGCTCTCATCTCCTGAGTATATCACCAAGTGTTTTTAGGCTAACAACTCCCATTCTGTTCTGGCTGATGTAACGACGGGTGGCTCCTGCATGGCTTTCTTGTCTCGCCGCTCCAGTTAGCAAACCCAGGGTATGCCGTCTATTCAGTGATAAATCATTTTTCATGAACCTGAAAACCTCACAGCGTTTAGTCACTCGTATGGCAGTGATGATGTCTCTCCTGTCCATAGATGGCCTATTCCTGATAGTCACACTGCCAGCCTTGATGTCTGCTCTCTCACTGCCAGCCTTGATGTCTGCCCTCTCACTGCCAGCCTTGATGTCTGCTCTCTCACTGCCAGCCTTGATGTCTGCTCTCTCACTGCCAGCCTTGATGTCTGCTCTCTCACTGCCAGCCTTGATGTCTGCTCTCTCACTGCCAGCCTTGATGTCTGCTCTCTCACTGCCAGCCTTGATGTCTGCTCTCTCACTGCCAGCCATGGTGTCTGCCCTCTCACTGCCAGCCTTGATGTCTGCTCTCTCACTGCCAGCCTTGATGTCTGCTCTCTCACTGCCAGCCATGGTGTCTGCCCTCTCACTGCCAGCCTTGATGTCTGCTCTCTCACTGCCAGCCTTGATGTCTGCTCTCTCACTGCCAGCCATGGTGTCTGCCCTCTCACTGCCAGCCTTGATGTCTGCTCTCTCACTGCCAGCCTTGATGTCTGCTCTCTCACTGCCAGCCTTGATGTCTGCTCTCTCACTGCCAGCCATGGTGTCTGCCCTCTCACTGCCAGCCATGGTGTCTGCCCTCTCACTGCCAGCCATGGTGTCTGCTCTCTCACTGCCAGCCATGGTGTCTGCTCTCTCACTGCCAGCCATGGTGTCTGCCCTCTCACTGCCAGCCATGGTGTCTGCCCTCTCACTGCCAGCCATGGTGTCTGCTCTCTCACTGCCAGCCATGGTGTCTGCCCTCTCACTGCCAGCCATGGTGTCTGCCCTCTCACTGCCAGCCATGGTGTCTGCCCTCTCACTGCCAGCCATGGTGTCTGCCCTCTCACTGCCAGCCATGGTGTCTGCCCTCTCACTGCCAGCCTTGATGTCTGCCCTCTCACTGCCAGCCTTGATGTCTGCCCTCTCACTGCCAGCCATGGTGTCTGCCCTCTCACTGCCAGCCTTGATGTCTGCTCTCTCACTGCCAGCCTTGATGTCTGCCCTCTCACTGCCAGCCTTGATGTCTGCCCTCTCACTGCCAGCCATGGTGTCTGCCCTCTCACTGCCAGCCTTGATGTCTGCCCTCTCACTGCCAGCCTTGATGTCTGCCCTCTCACTGCCAGCCATGGTGTCTGCCCTCTCACTGCCAGCCATGGTGTCTGCCCTCTCACTGCCAGCCTTGATGTCTGCCCTCTCACTGCCAGCCTTGATGTCTGCTCTCTCACTGCCAGCCATGGTGTCTGCTCTCTCACTGCCAGCCATGGTGTCTGCCCTCTCACTGCCAGCCATGGTGTCTGCCCTCTCACTGCCAGCCATGGTGTCTGCCCTCTCACTGCCAGCCATGGTGTCTGCCCTCTCACTGCCAGCCATGGTGTCTGCCCTCTCACTGCCAGCCATGGTGTCTGCCCTCTCACTGCCAGCCATGGTGTCTGCCCTCTCACTGCCAGCCATGGTGTCTGCTCTCTCACTGCCAGCCAGGGCGTCTGCCCTCTCACCGCCTTTCACACCAACATACAGTTTCAGCCTATTTATGAAGGAAACTGCAACAGCTAACTATTGTCAGAAGTAAAAAAAAAACTTGCCACGACACACACACAACAACAGTCAACCATTCTGACTGGCAGCTTTCATGAATGACCTCTCGACATCAGCTCAACAGCAGTCACCACAATTTGTGCACAAGGCGGTTTAGTGTCCATGTTTTAATGGGTCTTATGGAGGGGGAGAAGAATTCTACACTCAGACTCAAAGGAGAAGAGACATCAGTGCATCAACATTTAGAAACAATCTCAAAGGTTTTACATTTTGTTGTTGTTAGAACAGAGTTGAGAAACAAAATGTCAGCCCTAGGTGACACAACATGATGATGATGATGAGGTTTAGGTAGATCATTTAGCAAACCACCCTGTTGACAGCAAAGCTATGGCCACAGTTTATGTCAGAGTTACTGGTCTTCAAATTGTTTAGGTCTGTTATGATATCATTAATCTATGAGCCCTAATTTCAGAAAACAAGTGAAGGGAGGGAACTCTTTCACACACCTGGTCGCAAACCGGTGAACAGGAATATTCCAGTTCTGCCAAAATTCTGAGACTGTCTCTGCATTCCTGTAATTTGAAGAAAAACAAAAACACACACAGTTTGTTATCAGATCAATTGAAAAATGATTGCACACAGAAGGGAGTCACATGGTGCAGTGGCCAGACACTCGTCTCTGGGTCCAAAGGTCATGGGTTCAGGTCCTGACGGAGCAGGGCTTTTTTTAAAGAAATGACCTTGACTCCCAGGTCGACCCAGCCTTGAGCGGGTACCAGGTCGAACCAGCCTGGAGCGGGTACCAGGTCGACCCAACCTTGAGCGGGTACCAGGTCGACCTAGCCTTGAGCGGGTACCAGGTCGACCTAGCCTTGAGCGGGTACCAGGTCGAACCAGCCTTGAGCGGGTACCAGGTCGAACCAGCCTTGAGCGGGTACCAGGTCGACCTAGCCTTGAGCGGGTACCAGGTCGACCTAGCCTTGAGCGGGTACCAGGTCGAACCAGCCTTGAGCGGGTACCAGGTTGACCCAGCCTTGAGTGGGTACCGGGTTGACCCAGCCTTGAGCGGGTACCAGGTTGACCCAGCCTTGAGTGGGTACCGGGTTGACCCAGCCTTGAGCGGGTACCAGGCGCAGTCCTGGAAAGGCAGCCGGCGTGATGCTGACCACATCACCCACCAAGTGCAGATTGGTCTATAAAATATAGGTCTCGCCCTATTTGCCCAATATGCCTAAAGATATAGAAAAAGGTCCTTGACTTAACTTATTTTAACACAGAAGTTAACAATGCCAAACTAGCTCATATGAATTGAATATCACATAAAGGAGCCATAAACATGACTTTCCCTCTAACATTGTGCTGTCTGTCCTCAACATTTTCAGGTCTTGTATGAATCTCTAAGTCCTAGCTGTGTCGGTTCAATGTTTCAGTTACTGTCTGCCATCTGCTCATACAGAATGTCCCTTTAAATGAGCCAATCTAGCATGTGGCACACATGACCAATCCATCAAATTATGTCCTAGCTAAGAAGTATAACTCGATGAGCATTTTAATTAGATATTAGATGCCAGTGAGCCAGGGGCTGAATCAGAGCATGAAATATTACTGGATAATGGCACATACTGGCACTTTCAAGCCTAGTCAACCCCTAGGCTTCTGAGCCACTTCTCAACTCACCTTTTCTCCAGACATTTTTATATTGAATGACTTGCACCGTTATAGTCAAAACAATCATAGACCCACTGCCTACCTAGCAAGCTTATTGTGGGAGTTGACTAATTAAGGGTTTTCTTTGAAGTCAGAGTGCATCTGCCTGAGGGGCAAGGAACCAACAATCTGCACATAATTAAGCCAGATCTGTGCATGCATAACTAACATTTTTGAACAAGACTAAAATCCAGAGGTGGACAAACAACCAGAAGTTTCTGTCAGAGTTTACAGCTGGTAAATGTGAAGAAGAAGAAAAAGAAGCAGAAGAAGAAGAGGAAAATAAAGAAGCTAGCCACACTTATCATAGCTACAGGATGTCATTTCCATGCTATAACACAATATATAACACTATAGCCTGGAGAAACAGAAAGGTGCCAACTCTAACCCTTCTGTTAAGACAACTGTTGGCATCAAAAAGTATCATAAAAAAAAAAAAGAAATGATAAGCAACAGGAAAGAGTTCAGAAACAAAGCAGCAATGTCCGCAGTTATCAACCATGCACCAGAAATGTTCTTGAATAGAATGCTAGAGTTAGACACTCACCACCAGTCCTTGTAAAACTCACGGTCGGCAAATCGCAGCAGTTCAGCAACCACATTCAAGGTTGAATGGAAGAACCAGTAGAAAAACACCAACCAGATGAGGTGGTTTGGGATCTGTAGGAAATAAGTGTTGTGTCAATCATATTGTCACATAATATAGTTTTATGTGCAGAATTATACTGTGTCACTAGTCGAATAAAAGGTAGTTGATGCAGTTGAATGTGAAAAGTGGTTATAATTATTTGTCAGCTGCTCTGTATTTTATTTTAATGTTTGGAACTACCATTAAAATATTCAGGGAAGGTTACTCTAACATTTTTTACTTTGTTTAAAAGTCTCTGTTCACATATTTATGCGCAAACTGATCCGATTCATTGCTAGCGTCATTTTTAGATTTCATCTTTGACTGGCCAAGGACACCCAATGTTCCAAAAACAAGCACAGACCACAAAATGCAACTTTCTGCGGCTGAAGCTATGAAATCGTTTCAGAGGCTTTTAATTCTGATAATAATGAAAACTTATTTTTTTCAAAAATTTCGGAGGGTGAGTTTACACCAGCGGCAGCTGAGCGATCACCTGTTAGAGAATTGAGCAATTCCGATGAGCTATAAAACCAAAAGGACCCATTTCATTTGCAGAGGACATGACATCTGCATCAAAAGGCCTGTTTCAAACAGCTAAGCTGCATTAAATTGACTTCAGTTACAGTCTGTTTATAAGTGTACAACATCACCCAGCTTTTGTTCTATACGGAGGAGAAGCTTTCTCCCTGGCCTTAAACGTAGAATGCCATGGTGTTAAATTCTCACGCCCCTCTATGGCATAACACCATCATGAGGAAAGGTTAAATTATATATTTAAAAATCCCCCATTGTGAAAAAAGCAAACTTCAACATAACTGTGCATACACACACACGTCTTGTTCACAAAAAATAATATATGTGAAGAGTTAACGCAAGCTTAAGTGCAGAAAAAATGAATCTGTGAGAACTTCAGAAGCAGGCAATAAATCCAGGCTGCATCTGGAAGTTATACTATGTTACTGCCAATAATGTCATCATACTAAGAGGAATGTCTGGGCAACAACTGCTAGACAAAGAATACAGCGCTATACAGGACACTTCCTGAGAAAAGACGAGCGGGGACAAATAAACACGTATTAAATAGAACTGAGGAAGTGAGGATGTCCAAAAGACACCCTAAAATGCACGTTGATGAGACAGGTCAAAGGTTAACCAGACTCTATCCATGATATTGAAGGAATTGCACAGGGCAGAATGGGATAGAGGAACAGACTGCCCTATGTGACATTCAATGGCACAACAGGACACTGATGATGATGTTAATTTTGCTACAATCAAATCAATGACACTCTCAGACACATGAACTTACTGCTAGTTTTAGGAGACGTTCCAACATTTTAAAGATTTCCATCTCTGCCAATGGCACTCTTGCATTGTTTACAGCAGGCACAATCCACTGTATGAAAGAAGACAGAACAGATGATTACAGTCACAAGTAGAGACAAAGTTAAACTTAACCCTGTTATCTAACACAGTTCTCAGTGAAGGCTCATAGGTGCCCCACCTCACTTGGAAGTTACTGAACAGAAATGGTTCCAATGGTCAGTTGGTTACAGACTTTATCTCCATACTCTACCATATTGTTTCTTGCTAAGTCTTTAGCTTCATCAACTGTAACCACGTGTAGTTATGGATTTGTGTATCTTAGCACAAGAGGTGATAATTTATTACACACCTTTGTGTCTTCCCTGCTCAACGAATACAACTAAAGCATCAGATGTCCACATTCTCCGTGTGGGTTATGGGAAAAAGAATTGACCTGCAGCCTTCCCGGCAAGCATGTCATACAAGCATGTCATACAAGCATGTCGTACAAGGTGACCACTTAGGGATTTTCTGTCAGGTCAGAATGTATTAGCCTGAGAGGCGAGGAACCAACAGTCTGCATATAAACGAGCTAGATTTATAAAGCGGATGTGCAGGCAAAACTCAATTTCTGGTACAAGACCAAAGTCCAGAAATGGATGAACAGCCAGAACTTTCGGCCGGTGATCACCTAGAAGTAGAGGAAGTTCAAGTAAACTTAACCTCCCCCCCCCCCCCCCCCACACACTCACACATATATATATATATATAATATAGGTGAGCAGAAATGACAGCTGAAGGTCACAATGCTTCAACTGAAGCACAACTCACCTGTTGCATCAAGGCCACCATCAGCCACAAGAGGAAGACCTAAAGAGGAAAATAAGAAAAGTTGTGATTATACATACAAAAGTTGTGATTATACATACAAAAATTGTGACTACATAAAAGTAACAAAGTTTGTAATTACACAAAAGTAGTGTTTACCTATACTACAAGAGAAGGTTCAAATGAACATATTCAGGTAGCCCTATGGCAGCCCCCGTCAGACAGGTAAACACTTCACATATACTCAGCTGAACATGATTGAGTTCGGATGAGTTCATTTATTCTCTATATTTGGCCCCACCTGTGTGGGCCACTGAGATGAGGTGACCAGTTCAATTATTCTCTATATTTGGCCCCACCTGTGTGGGCCACTGAGATGAGGACCAAGTCTGATACTGGTAACTCTCATGGGCCATCTCCTCATTGTGTGATCTCAGCACAGACGGGATTCTCAGTCAGGCTAATGTTACAAGGGTTGCCATGTCTGTGTACAGACCTCATGTTGCAAGGGTTGCCATGTCTGTGTACAGACCTCATGTTCCAAGGGTTGCCATGTCTGTGTACAGACCTCATGTTCCAAGGGTTGCCATGTCTGTGTACAGACATCATGTTCCAAGGGTTGCCATGTCTGTATACAGATCTCATGTTCCAAGTTGCCATGTCTGTGTACAGACCTCATGTTCCAAGGGTTGCCATGTCTGTGTACAGACCTCATGTTGCAAGGGTTGCCATGTCTGTGTACAGACCTCATGTTCCAAGGGTTGCCATGTCTGTGTACAGACCTCATGTTCCAAGGGTTGCCATGTCTGTGTACAGACCTCATGTTCCAAGGGTTGCCATGTCTGTGTACAGACCTCATGTTCAAGGGTTGCCATGTCTGTATACAGACCTCATGTTCCAAGGGTTGCCATGTCTGTGTACAGAACTCATGTTCCAAGGGTTGCCATGTCTGTTTACAGACATCATGTTCCAAGGGTTGAAATGTCTGTATACAGATCTCATGTTCCAAGGGTTGCCATGTCTGTGTACAGACCTCATGTTGCAAGGGTTGCCATGTCTGTGTACAGACCTCATGTTGCAAGGGTTGCCATGTCTGTGTACATACCTCATGTTGCAAGGGTTGCCATGTCTGTATACAGACCTCATGTTCCAAGGTTTGCCATGTCTGTATACAGATCTCATGTTCCAATGGTTGCCATGTCTGTATACAGATCTCATGTTCCAAGGGTTGCCATGTCTGTATACAGACCTCATGTTCCAAGGGTTGCCATGTCTGTATACAGATCTCATGTTCCAAGGGTTGAAATGTCTGTATACAGACCTCATGTTCCAAGGGTTGAAATGTCTGTATACAGATCTCATGTTCCAAGGGTTGAAATGTCTGTATACAGATCTCATGTTCCAAGGGTTGCCATGTCTGTGTACAGACCTCATGTTGCAAGGGTTACCATGTCTGTGTACAGACCTCATGTTGCAAGGGTTGCCATGTCTGTGTACAGACCTCATGTTCCACTGAAGGTCTAGCATGTCCTGCTCTCTGATGCTTGGAGAAGAGAAGAATAACCCTGCACCCACAGCACCATGGACATGGTACTTCAGTATTGGAAGCAACATTTCTACACTATCTTCCTCCCAGGAGAATACAGTCCTCAAGTAGTAGGAGACCAGAATCTCAAGGCATCAGGCTTAATAGCCCAGTTTGCAAGCAACAAACTTCCCTAGTTAACAAATGACAAACTTTTGATGTTCATGATTCTTAAATACTTTAGAAAAATACAATGATTTCTGAATGATCTAAAAATGTTTAAAAGTTGAAAGTTAAGGATATCGACTTTATTGTACTGAGTTTTATCCCATTATGGCTCAGCGTTTCTCATTAAAATTGTCAGTCACCTGTCGAGAGCATCACACAAAGTACAAACACTACAGCTCCAGTGACCTCAGTATTAACTGTGAACCAAACTACAAAGTTTATAAACTGAACTCAAGACCTTCAGAGTGTAAGACAAACAGTTTAACCACTTCACCACAGAGACCTCTGATCATAATTATTCCTTAAAATGTCAGTCAATTCACCAATTCCAGTTAGTTAGTCACATTTTGTCACAACCAACATTTCCCTTAAAATGTCAGTCAATTCACCAATTCCAGTTTGTTAGTCACAACCAACATTTCCCTTAAAATGTCTGTCAATTCACCAATTCCAGTTTGTTTGTCACAACCAACATTTCCCTTAAAATGTCAGTCAATTCACCAATTCCAGTTTGTTTGTCACAACCAACATTTCCCTTAAAATGTCTGTCAATTCATCAATTCCAGTTTGTTAGTCACAGCCAACATTTCCCTTAAACTGTCAGTCAATTCACCAATTCCAGTTTGTTAGTCACAACCAACATTTCTCTTAAAATGTCAGTCAATTCACTAATTCCAGTTTGTTAGTCACAACCAACATTTCCCTTAAAATGTCAGTCAAATTCACCAATTCCAGTTTGTTTGTCACAACCAACATTTCCCTTAAAATGTCAGTCAATTCACCAATTCCAGTTTGTCACAACCAACATTTCCCTTAAAATGTCAGTCAATTCACCAATTCCAGTTTGTTTGTCACAACCAACATTTCCCTTAAAATGGCTACCAGGAAATGTCCCACTGCAAGTAAAGGCAGCTGGCCTGATCTTGACCCCTTCAATCAGCAAATGACGATTAGACAAACATATAAACAATAGGTCCAGCATTATGTGCCCACTTTGCCCGAGGCGTGAAAAGAATCCTTTACTGAACTGTCCCTTCAAATGGCAGTAGGAGGTGCCGACATGAATTTAAGCTCTGTCAGTGGATGCAATCAGTTTGCATCAGACATACACAGATGTAGTAGTTCCATGTTGGTGATGCCAATGCTAGATCGGCATACAAGTGAAGTGCTAGCGACTTACAAAATAGCATGTTTGATCCGGACACACTACGGCTTGGAGGGAACTACTGTTGGCAACTGACCAATCAAAAACATGGTCGGACTTGTGAAAATTATGACTTGAATGCAGAGGCACTGAAGCACACATGATGCTGTATTGGAACCAAGACACACTGGTCTAGACAGACCTATCTACACCTCTCTGTGGTCAGCCTAGAAAAGGTGCTATCTAAACCGGAATGGCCAACACAGATAGGATCCAAGTCTCCTTCAAAGACAGAGTGCATCTGCCTGAGAGGCAAGAAACCAGCAGTCTGCATACAAATAAGCCATACCTGTAAAACAGATGTACAGACAACACTCAAGTACTGAAACAAGATCACAATCCAGAAGTGAACAAACAACAAGGACTTTCTGTCAAAGTATAAAGCTAGTGAACGTGAAAAAGATAAAGATGATCATCATAAATAATTTTTTTTTAATATAATAAAACACTACAAAACCAACAATACTTTACCATTTCAATAAGACGTTTTGCTAAGAAACGCTTTCTGATTCGAGCTGACCTTGGGAAGTTCAACTCGTAACACAGTGTTGGGGCACACATATAATATGCCAAGTCTGTAAAGAAACGTTTGCATACATTAATGTGTGTCATTAATGTGTTTCAGAGAGAAAAGGCTGGATGAAAATTTACAAATGCTGGGCTGTCATTTTGCAGACACAGGTCTGACTCCTTGGAAAGCTGATGGATTTACTTCTGCTGGAGACAAACCTCAAACCCTAACTTGTACTGTCAGTGGTGACAGCACTAGCCATACTGCCCTAAATCTTCAGGCTGGGGATCCATCCCCTCCCTCCCCGTCCTTCACTGTCCTAAAAAGTGGTATAACCAGACAGTAAAGACAGCACACAAAAAAATGTCTGTCATGAGCCCAAATAAAGAAAACGATGAATGAAACCATAGAGACAATTGTTAATGCAGTAACAGAAAAGATTTTACATGTCCTATTGAGACAAATCAGAAAAGTTGAGAATGTGAGAGGATGATTAAATGAGACAGGAAACCTGTGAGAGGATAGCTAAACAAGACAAGAGAATGTGTGAGAGGATGGCTAAACAAGACAGGAAAATGTGTGAGAGGATAGCTAAACAAGAAAGGAGAATTTGTGAGACATTGGCTAATCAAGACAAAAGAATGTGTGAAAGGATTTCTAAACAAGAGAATGTGTGAAATGATGGCTAACAAGACAGGAGCATGAGTGAGAGGAAGGCTAAACAAGAGAGGGAAAAATGTGAGATGACGGCTAAACAAGACAGGACAAAATGTGGGAGATGACTATTACAGACAACTACAGCACCAACTCACCTCTGACATTCAAGTTTTCTGAGTAGGTCTGCAAGTGTTCAGTAGTACCCCCATTGGCCTTTGTGGAGTCTGAAACCAAGAATCTTTATGTCAATCAACTTATGCACAGGAAAACAACCTACATCCATAAACTAAGGATAATACTTGCATGCGGTCATGATTTGTCTTGTCACATTGTCGCAAGTCTTTGGTCTGGTTTGTGTGTTTGTCCCCACTTATGTCCCCTAGTAAAACTATTTTTCTCCAGCGTCTTCACCTCTTTTACTGCTTCATGTGTCGAAGGAAGTATATGGTTCTGCTTGCTGCTCTTCTGGCAGCCACAACCCCAGACACATTGAACTGTTGTACAGTTTCTCTCATGTTATCTTTCCATCTTGTTCTTGGTCTACCTTGTGCTCTAGGTTGCTCTGATCCTTTAGTGTATGCCATGTATTGCACCTTCCACCACACATGTCTACGTAGAATTATCAAAATTTTCTGGCCAGATACAATCTCAAACACTAAACTACTTCAAGTCACAAACCAAGAAACTTTAGACAGTATGATAACCAAGAGAAGATGGAAATGGCTTGGTCACGCTATGAGAATGAATCCTGATACACCTGCCAAAACAGCTCTCACATGGACACCAGAGGGAAAGAGAAAACAGGGGCACCAAAAAACAACATGTAGACGAAAGATGGAAAGTGACCTGAGAGCTTCATCTTTGACATGGAAAACTGCACTGAAGATTGCACAGGACAGGAAAGCATGGTAAGTCCTCTCTGAAGCCTCATGTGCCACTAGGCATAATGAGAACTGATGATGTATTGCATGGCATCACAAGGCATTCCATCTGAATGGACAAACCATTTTTTTTGCTGTCTTTGTAAATTATTAAGTACTGGATCTGTGTCAACTTTCCCTTTCATAACTCGACTTTCTCTCTTCTGATCATTGCTGCAGCATTTCTCAGACATCTCATTGTCATGGTTACTTACTTACTTTCTTGTTTGCTATGAGTGACCATATGTTTGGCTCTGGTAGCATCGGGTGGGGATGAGTAGGCTTTGTATGTGATGTTTCTTTAGTAAAGCTATACTGTTATTTATCGCTAGGTAACTCCTTGCTGTTGCTTATCAACTGCTAGATGTCACTGCTTCCAAGTTCTTTCCATTCGTAACATGTCTGCCCCCCCCCAAAAAATTATACGTTCTGATCTCTTTAATAACTTTAAGGTTTTCAGCTGTTTCTTGTTTCTTTCTCTGTCCATGAGTTACTTCATATTTTTCTGGTTTTGCTTACAAGACAACATAAGACGACAAGAGACACAAGACAACATAAGACAAGATGACAAGAGACACAAGACAACATAAGACAAGATGACAAGAGACACAAGACAACATAAGACAAGATGACAAGAGACACCAAACAACATAAGACAAGATGACAAGAGACACCAGACAACATAAGACAAGATGACAAGAGACACCAGACAACATAAGACAAGATGACAAGAGACACAAGACAACATAAGACAAGATGACAAGAGACACCAGACAACATAAGACAAGATGACAAGAGACACCAGACAACATAAGCCCCATAAGACACTAGGACTCACCAACACCCTGTGGGGATCCTCCACTAGATTTTCTCCTTTGCATCCTGGTGGCTGCCAGATGCTCCCTGCACCAGTAGTTGACATGAGCGTAGGAGATCAGCTTGAGAAAACACGTGGTCACATTGCCCAGAGTAAACAGAGAGAACACTGTGGATGGGAAGCCAATTCAAGGTTTAGGTATAATTTTAAACGACGGATCATCATCATGGCATAAGGGGTAACCTTAAGTGCTCTGTTCTATTTGGCACTCAAGCTTGAGTCTGAAGAATCTCAGCGCAGTGCACAAACTCTGTAGCACCAGCGAGGATCCTGAAAATACTTTGAGTAGATTATTAACTGCAAACTTTGCCATAACATCGTTGTTAGGCTACTCTTTTCGATTTCCAACTGCTGAGGGAATTTTATGTGCACAACAATACACACGGGCATTCAATCTTACTACCCAGAGAAATCACTAGAAGTCCACGTGAAAAAAAATCCTAGCCTTCACTGGGGCCTTAACCTGGGACCTCCAGCACTTGAGACGGAGACTATGACTCTAGCTCCCTAAAGCTCAAGGGTCAAGAGTAATGCAACTGGATACTTAACACTTTAACAACATGAGATTTTCCATATTTGGTGACAGATTTAAATCTGCCTTTCCTATCAGTGGTGATTAGCTGCAATTGTTAAGAAATACTATCTATCGCTCTGGTTGAACAAATTGATAGACTACTATTTATCCATCTCTTGACCTTATCTTTCCTCTTGCACTGCTAACTACCTCTTGCTTAACCAACTGCCTTGTATTTTAATATGTCCAGAAAATTATACTTATCCTTTTTTCTACTGCCTTCATCAACTCTCTTTTCATTTCAAGTCTACCAAGAAGGTCTATTTAATTGTTTTTGTGTCTCCGCAAAATGTGACCTATTCTTCTGTAAATCACCTCCCGGGCCTCAATTTGACACTGTCCAGGAATACACGTTATATACCATGGTTCCCATGCATAATTTCCCAGAATGCTCTTTACTATAAGCCCCCCCCCCCCCCCCCCCCACCCCCACACACACACAGTAAGACCTAGTTTAGATCTCAGCTAAGTTTATAATGGAGCGATAAGACCCCACTTGGAGTTTGGTGCAACAGCATGGTCAACAGCTGCTAATTCCCATCTACAATCGTTAAACAGAGTGCAAAATCAAGCTCTTAGACTCATCACAGGATCCATGAAAACTGCACCAATCCTGAAGATGCAGAAAATAACTGCAATGCAGACACTGTCCTATAGAAGAGACACTAAAACTATGATCCTGATGGAGAAGTTTAATAGTATGCAGTCACACCCAATGAATAAAAGGTTAGATGATCTGGCATTAGGGCGTCTCAAATGTAGCAGCTTTGTCCATCGGGGGGGAAAAGACTTAGAAGACAGTATCAAGCTGATCTACCTATTAGAACAACACCGCTGAAACCTACCCTATACCCTGTACCTTGGGAGCAAGTCAGTGATACAATACAGATAATGACTTCAGTCAACGGATTCACAACTGGAGATGAGTCCAATGATCTTCAAAAACAAACAGCTACTCTTAGCATGATTCATGAAAACTATCCCGAACAGTCATGGATACATGTTTACACAGAGGATCAGCAACCAGTGCGGTTAAAAAAGGGGGGTGCTGGAGTCTTTATTACATACCCAGGCAACCCACCGCCACACAAAGTGGATACCACTGGTAAATTCTGTTCGTCCAACTACACAGCAGAGATTGTAGCACTAGAGCAGGCTGCCGAAATGTTACACAACACCAGTTCTGACTGCCACCAAGTGGTTATATTCACAGATGCGCTTTCAGTGCTTCAAGCCCTCAAGAGTGGCAAACTCCCTGACTTGAGATCTGAACTTGGCAAGGTGGCTGCCCAAAAGTGTACTGTACTCTAGTGGGTGCCATCCCACTGTGGTATACCAGGAAACGAAACCGCAGATAAACTTGCTAAAAAAGGGGCAGAATGTGACCAGGAAGAGAATGCAGTAACATACTATGAGAAGAAAAGGGCCATCCAGGCTATTAGAAGTGAACAGAGTCTGGCCAAAGATGACTACCACTTACTTGACCGGCATGGGCAGGTCATTGTCCTACGTCTCAGGACAGGACATAACAAACTTAACCAGCATATGGCACAGGCTTCGTCTAAGTAGTTCACCATTTTTGCCCTTGTGGGATATGTGTGCCAGACTACAGAACATGTCCTGCAAGACTGTCCCTTGTTCAGCCCATTAAGAAAGGAATACTGGCCCAGTGAGTCACCACTGTACACAAAGTTGTATGGGACTAAAAATGAACTCATAAAAACAGTCAAGTTTATCACAAGAACCTGTCTGTCGGTGTAAATCAGAAAGCGAACACAACAAGAAGAAGAAGAAGATCTCAGCTGGAATGAGAGACTTGTTGCCAAATAACTAGTGGGAATGAGAGACTTGTTGCCAAATAAGCAGTGGGAATGAGAGACTTGTTGCCAAATAACCAGTGGGAATGAGAGACTTGTTGCCAAATAAGCAGTGGGAATGAGAGACTTGTTGCCAAATAACCAGTGGGAATGAGAGACTTGTTGCCAAATAACCAGTGGGAATGAGAGACTTGTTGCTGAATAACCAGTGGGAATGAGAGACTTGTTGCCGAATAACTAGTGGGAATGAGAGACTTGTTGCCGAATAACCAGTGGGAATGAGAGACTTGTTGCCGAATAACCAGTGAGAATGAGAGACTTGCCAAATAACCAGTGAGAATGAGAGACTTGTTGCCGAATAACCAGTGAGAATGAGAGACTTGCCAAATAACCAGTGGGAATGAGAGACTTGCCATATAACCAGTGGGAATGAGAGACTTGCCGTATAACCAGTGGGAATGAGAGACTTGCCGTATAACCAGTGGGAATGAGAGACTTGCCGTATAACCAGTGGGAATGAGAGACTTGCCGTATAACCAGTGGGAATGAGAGACCTGCCGTATAACCAGTGGGAATGAGAGACCTGCCGTATAACCAGTGGGAATGAGAGACTTGCCGTATAACCAGTGGGAATGAGAGACTTGCCGTATAACCAGTGGGAATGAGAGACCTGCCGTATAACCAGTGAGCCTACAGCTGCCGTTGGTGCACTCTTGATAATGACATTCCTATTTAAGGACACTTTTACTGCTGGACAAGACAGACTGGGTCTCACTGCTGGACAAGACAAGACAGACTGGGTCTCACGGCTGGACAAGACAGACTGGGTCTCACTGCTGGACAAGACAAGACTGGGTCTCACTGCTGGACAAGACAAGACAGACTGGGTCTCACGGCTGGACAAGACAGACTGGGTCTCACTGCTGGACAAGACAAGACTGGGTCTCACTGCTGGACAAGACAAGACAGACTGGGTCTCACGGCTGGACAAGACAGACTGGGTCTCACTGCTGGACAAGACAGACTGGGTCTCAGGGTTCTTGAGGAAATGGAGTCGCAAGAAATTCAGGCCGGAATTTGGGATTTGTAGAGTTTTTACGATGTTCCAGAGGAAGATGACATGACTATATTTGAATAAATATAGGATTTTTTAAAACAATAAATGCAGATTTTTATAACTGAAACAATTATTTGAACAATATTTCCCCGAAAATCAGCCTTAGAGCATTTTTTAAGCAAAAGATAAAATAAGACTGCCTTAATTTCAGGGAAACATGATAGTTGAAAAAAATACTTAGTGACTGTGAGCTTATGTTACATTCAGAGAGACAGAAGAAGACAAAGAGTACTTGTACATGCAATAAATATTTGTTTTTGGTGGTTATGTTTTTATTTCTAATTTTTAAAAATTACATGGTCTGCAGTAATTTGGCCACAAGAAAATCCAACTATTAAAGAATGTTCCCTTCTTAGGTGGTAACCTCAGGTGTGGTGGTAACCTCAGGTGTGGTGGTAACCGCAGGTGTGGTGGTAACCGCAGGTGTGCTGGCAACAAGTGTGATGGCCGCAGGTGTGCTGGCAACAAGTGTGATGGTCGCAGGTGTGCTGGCAACAAGTGTGCTGGCAACAAGTGTGGTGGTCGCAGGTGTGCTGGCAACAAGTGTGGTGGCCGCAGGTGTGCTGGCAACAAGTGTGGTGGCCGCAGGTGTGCTGGCAACAAGTGTGGTGGCCGCAGGTGTGCTGGCAACAAGTGTGGTGGCCGCAGGTGTGCTGGTCGCAGGTGTGCTGGCAACAAGTGTGCTGGCCGCAGGTGTGGTTACCACAAGTGTGCTGGCAGCAGGTGTGCTGGCAACAAGTGTGCTAGCTGCAGGTGTGGTTACCACAAGTGTGCTGGCAGCAGGTGTGCTGGTCACAGGTGTGCTGGCAACAAGTGTGATGGCCGCAGGTGTGGTTACCACAAGTGTGCTGGCAGCAGGTGTGGTGGTCGCAGGTGTGCTGGCAACAAGTGTGCTGGTCGCAGGTGTGGTTACCACAAGTGTGCTGGCAACAAGTGTGGTGGTCGCAGGTGTGCTGGCAACAAGTGTGCTGGCCGCAGGTGTGGTTACCACAAGTGTGCTGGCAGCAGGTGTGGTGGCCGCAGGTGTGCTGGTTGCAGGTGCGCTGGTAACAAGTGTGCTGGCGGCAGGTGTGGTTACCACAAGTGTGCTGGCAGCAGGTGTGGTGGCCGCAGGTGTGCTGGTTGCAGGTGCGCTGGTAACAAGTGTGCTGGCAGCAGGTGTGGTGGCCGCAGGTGTGCTGGTTGCAGGTGTGGTTACCACAAGTGTGCTGGCAGCAGGTGTGGTGGCCGCAGGTGTGCTGGTTGCAGGTGCGCTGGTAACAAGTGTGCTGGCGGCAGGTGTGGTTACCACAAGTGTGCTGGCAGCAGGTGTGGTTACCACAAGTGTGCTGGCAGCAGGTGTGGTGGCCACAGGTGTGCTGGCTGCAGGAGTGGTAACCGCAGGTGTGCTGGCCGCAGGTGTGCTAAAAAGGGGCTCCCAGGCTGTATGTTTGGCATGCCCGATCTATAATATATAAAACAAATACACAAGAACTGATTGGCACTCACAGAAAGAAGTGTAGAAATAAGAGGACACAATAGAAAAAAAAAAACCAAAAGCTAAAGTTACCATGCTAGGAATGAACCTATCATCTCCAAATGATACAAGGCGCCTCGCTGCAGAAACAAGTGTACCTGCATGCATGGCCACTCGACACCCCTTTGCTATACAACCACAGAAGTGCTAAGGATTGTTTGGCATACATTTTGATTCTCTAAGTGTTCTCAGGCACTCTAGAATATGATAACTACAGCCATTCTGTCACTCACCGATTACCGGATGAAGGATGTATATCACCACGGCAGGCAAGAACAACAGCACCGTCAGGTTAATGCTGTATATTACAACACCGGTTCGGTTACTGATCCAGTCCTAGGCAAAAACAACCAACAAGCAACTTCAACAACAGAACCAATAATTCATTTAAACAATTATAGAACATTATAAACAAAATGTTTATACCATTGTCTCATTCAATAATGAGGAATTCTCCTTCTTCCTCTTTGCGTTCATCAGCTGTAAACTCAGGCAGAAAGTTCTGGTTATTTGTCCACCTTTGCACTTAAGTCTTGTTCCAGAACTTGAGTATTGCATTCACAACTGTTTTACAGATCTGATCTAGCTGTATGCAGGCTGTTGGTTCCATGCCTCTCAGTCAGATGCACTCTGACTTCAAAGGAAGCCCCCCAATCAGTAGACTCTTATGACATGCTTGTTGAGGTGGCAGTGGGTCTATTCATGATAATGAGGACATAAACAATACATTAAACAATTTATGGCTAGGCATACGAGGGGCCTCCAGAAAATAATGCAATACATCAAAATTTACAATATACAAGGATATGTCATGTAAATGTCGGCATTATTCAACACAATCCCCATCAACTTGTTCGGCGTTATAACAGTGCCAATCAAGTGCATGTATTCCTAGCCTGTACCAGATTTTGTCTGGCTCATATAGCCATTTCTTCGCTGTATGAATCACTTGCTCATCATCTTCAAACCTTGTCCTGCGGAGGGCATCTTTAAGTAGACCAGATTGATATAAAAATCAGAGGGTACCAAATGGGGACTACAGTGTGAATGTGGCAGTACAGAGCAACCCAGTTTAGTGATTGCCTCCTGTATTGCCATATTTGTGTTAGGTCTGCTGCATTCTCGTAGGATTTGTCAAATGCTGAGTCTTTCCCCCAAAATTTTAATGTAAGATTGCAAGCTCATGGTCTCTTCTCTTCTCTGAGGAGGAGGAGGAGAAAAAGAAGAGCATGTTGAACACGTGGTTTTAGGCCAACTTACAACCAAAAATCCTAGCACACATCAACACACAGGTGACCAGAAATTGACCTGTAAATAAAATGGAATGGGACAGGCCATTATTTGACTTCATATGTACATGAGTATTCTCAGCTATCCAAGCCACCCTAAATGGAATTTGGTAAAAATGCAGCAAGTTTTTAGGCACTACAAGTGGCACAAAGCACACTAGAGGGTTGGCCATCATACAAGCATTGTCTGTAAATCAGATACTATAATGATCTGTCTGTCATTTAATTAGTCTGTCTTCAACAGATGTATCAGTGATGGCTAAAATGTAGGTCATCAACCAGTAACTGACATAGCCACTATCAATAAATTGTTTTACAGAGGAAAGATAAACTATGCACAGTAAAATGTGCCAGGAAAATAGAATATCAATGTTTGATCTTTCCAGAAAACAGGAATTTGAATATCAATGTTTGATCTTTCCAGAAACCAGGAATATAGAACATCAATGTTTGATCTTTCCAGAAACCAGGAATATAGAATATCACTGTTTGATCTTTCCAGAAACCAGGAATATAGAATATCACTGTTTGATCTTTCCAGAAACTTTCTTTTATAACGTAAGACAAATAGTTTCCACACCCAGCAGACATTATCTAGGGAAGATAAAGCAGCTGATTCTGAGCACTGGGAGAGCCAAGGATAAACTCTGAGCACTGGGAAAGCCAAGGATAAACTCTGAGCACTGGGAAAGCCAAGCATATACTCTGAGCACTGGGAGAGCCAAGCATATACTCTGAGCACTGGGAGAGCCAAGGATATACTAGTATTGAGGCAGGTTTCAGGATATAGTCTGAGTAGTGGGAGAGTCATGGATGTTCTCTTAGTACCTGACTGGGGGGGGGGGGGGGGGGTGTGGGGGTGTGGAGGAATGTACTTTTATTACTGGATTGGTGGGGGGGGGGGGGGGGGGCTAGTGAATATACTCGGAGTACTGGAGGGGGGGGGGGTGGTGGTGCGGGGACCAAGAATATAATATACTCCGAGTATTATTACTATTACTATGAATAATGGGAGTGGAAATCAATGATATACGTAGTACTGAAAAAAAAATGGGGAAAGGGGGGCGGGGGGATTGCGTTAAAAACATACCCTGCGTACTGGGGTGGGAATCAACGATATACTCTTGAGTATATCTGGGGGTAGGGTGAAGACAAAAGATGAAAAGAATGAGGAGAAGAAAGAAGGAGGACGAGAAGGAGAAATAATGAGGAGGAGAAAGAAGAAAGAGGAGGAGAAAGAAGGAAGAGGAGGAGGAAGAAAGAGCTGGAGGAGGAAAAGAAATGACTTAAGGTAATAACATATTTAGACAATTCTCTGTGCCGTCTCCACAATAAAAGTTGGCTACATTGTACCACTGTTGTCTTCTGCAACATTAGGCAGCGATGCCACACATTTCTTCCACGATTCGACTCTCGTACTGTTCGAAAACGATCAGAATTTTTTTTCATTCTAAACCATTCCCCGCAGGAATCTAACCGGGTATAGGAGGACCATACAACTGGAATAACTCTTATCAAGACACGTAACATAACAAGTGTCTCCGGAAGATAAGTTGAGATATTAGATAAAGAATCGCTGACAAGACAGCCAAAGCGTCCCTCTCCCCCCCCCCCCCCTCAAGACAGTGCATCGATTGTTCCCTAGAATAAAATAACATGCCATGACCGCGGACTGGAAAACGGACACACTGATAACAGACAGGGCACAGGCACTGGGCGGCCTTGACCTGTGGGTCAACCTTGACATGAAACAAACTACCAGAAATCCACGTACATACGATTTATCGGTTCTGACGGGTGCGGTCTGGCAGAGGCCACACGCACTAACTGGGGGTTAGAAACCATAGGTTGCATACATTTATATTACCCAATTAATCCGGTGCCGTCTTCACAGTGAAGGTTGGGTGCAGTGGATCTCCACGCGGTGTCTCTTGTCTTAGCTGTACACTGCGGGAGGGAACAGGGGGTGGGTGTGGGGGGGGGGGGGGGGGGGGGGTCTGGTTCTGTTGGACACTAGCATGATCATCTAGCAAGGTTACAGTCATGTCTTTCTTAGGGCAGTCCACCGCCATTTGGCTAGGTCTGGCACTCAGCTCTCTCCTATGGCAGTCAGCATGCGACAGCGACCCCCCCCCCCCCAACAGCCTTGACGTGCTGGCTAAACCAGGAGAAGGTAGCCGACGTGGTTCTAAACCACTTGGTGTCTGGGGTATGCCTAGCCTACATACAAAGACTGGACTCGAAGAAACTTCTGTTTGGTTCAACCAAATATAATGGGCGACAAAGCAAACGCCTATAAATATTACACATCCCTAAGCCCGGCTCCCTAGCGTAGTTGGTTAAACCTGACTTCGCGGTGACCGGGTGACAAACTCCTTGTGGTCTGGGTTCACTCCCAGGGGGTAGGCAGAAAAGCCACATTTCTCCCAGATTTACGGTACTTATTATGGAATCAAGGCCAAAGGGTTGCGATATCCATAGTACCAAGTCAAAGGGTTTGTGGATATTAAAAATAAACATCCCTAAACTTAGAACAGACTTGTACAAAACACGCTTGGTGTACTCTGCAGCTTATCTTTTGAATCAACTTCCACAACCAATCAAAAATATCAACAACCCCTATAAATACAGCTGGAAGCTTTTTTGAATGTTATCTCACTATAGACTACATGCCCCTTTAGAAGATAATAGTTTCCAAAGAATACTGTTGACTTTCATTCAGTAGGCCGAAGGCAGGTTATTTTAACTGTTTCAAAATGTAGGCATACTTTAAGCACATTGTTACAAAGATGTGGATAATTCCTATTAATATTATGATTATCTACTAAAGTAGAATGCATGAACAGTGTATGCATGGCGTGAGACCAGAAGGGCAGAATGTAAGACGGACCTGTGTGCCCAATTCTTAACCATTTGAAAATCAAGTTTGTTCGTTCGTTTGCTCAATTAAAAAAAAAAAAAAATTACCAGCAGGCTCTGTGGAGAGCTTCGAACAAGGCAGGGCACTTCAGACATAGGAGGGGTCCGAGCACTCAACAGTTTGAAGTAGGATAAGGATAATCTGTTGACTAACTAACTAAAGCTGATGCGTTCTCCTCAATTGTTGTTTGATGTTGGATAAGGATAATCTGTCGACTAACTAACTAAAGCTGATGCGTTCTCCTCAATGGTTGTTTGATGATACATTTATGGTATTTTTACTTAAATGTGCGATCACAGATCTGAAACCCTCGACGCTGCAGTAAGATTCCTACGAAACTTCCCTGAGTATCTGACATTCTGCCTTTTCCACAGCCCTCTTTAACAAGCTCTCCACATTTCCCCAAGCAAACCTAAACTCGGGGCTCGAACTCGGCAGCACGGGTGAGGATCCCAAATAACTAAAAGTTTGTTTCGTACACTCTTCCTGCCTTTCATCTCCCAACAGAGCATGGGTCCTTAACCAAGTTCTAAAACAGGACCCTGTGTATGTACGCTAGATATATTATTATAGACCAATCAGCACTCGGTGGGTGAAGTGTCCACACAACACCGACCGCCTTTACTTCCCAAGACATTACCTGGTAACTCTTGTTAGCCTTGCTCCTAAATGGTAGAATTTTGCACATCTCATGCCATTATGGCGTACTGAACTTGCGATCATCGTGTCGACGAGCAAACACTATATACAATACACTAGCAAGATTCTGGCCATACAGTAAAATAACGGCTCACGACTGGGACCCCAGGAGGTACAGTTTGGAAATCACTGTGTGAAAGGATGGGTGGTGACAAGGCCATCTTCAGTATATACTGAAGACGGCCTTGAGGGGTCAACAATAGGAGAAAGATTGTGCTCCTGCTGCTTCTGTGTTCGCCCTTGAAAAGGCGGTTGACATCTGTGTTGTGGTTGACATCTGTGTTGTGGTTGACATCTGTGTTGTGGTTGACATCTGTGTTGTGGTTGACATCTGTGTTGTGGTTGACATCTGTGTTGTGGTTGACATCTGTGTTGTGGTTGACATCTGTGTTATGGTTGACATCTGTGTTGTGGTTTACAACACATCC